CCCACGTTATTCACCGATGTTTTTGACTGTTTCGTTTGGCTGCTCTATTTCTTGGCCGTTTGTACAAGGACTATATCATCATAGTTAGTTCGTTGAAATAAGTTTCTCAGTGTGGCAAAATACCTGGCAGAATATAGCCTTTCCTACTTTAATGTCTCTGATAGCTTTGCCTACACGTCATCAGTTGGAGATCAAATTCCCCGCAACTAACTCCACCAACTGCCATATCAGCCTCCTGTTTACGACGGTACCGATTCCTCGATCATCCAGTCTTTGGCTCTCAAAACTGCAGCACCGGGAAACATCGCACATCAACACTACATTTATAAATTAACATATATCGGTGGATACACTGTGCGCACTCTCATCGCCCGACTGTTCACACGGTTAACCCTCGTATCAAATGGAGAGGGACACTGAGTTAATTATGTGCACCTGCCCATCACACAACCACAGGCAAGAAGAGTGAGCGGCGTCAGTTTTTTCAGGAAAATTTTGCCAATGAGGGCATGCATGCGCTTCCTTTTATGCAGTCGTATCATAGATCGGCTGATCGGGGAAGACTGAATAAATCCCCGGGCATTGAAAACGCAACGGAATAATCGCGGGCTAAGTCATGAGATCTGCAGGTTAGCGTGCTTAAGCCTTTGTGCATTAGATTTACCTGCGAGGCCCTGGATCTCTTTGTAACTTCAAGCCACGCAGATATATGGGGTGGTGCATGCTCTCGAAGAATTTTTGACCAACCAAATGGCTAATTTCTGCCCTAATCTCAAAATAATGGTAAATCGACTGAGGGCTTTGCCTCTGAGAATGACCTGCGTTTCGTTTCCTGTCCCTAGGACGTTTTCCTGGTCAGTTGCTCGGTGCCGATTGCCGGGTTCAAATAGCCCAGAAAGAGCGGCCCCAGCTTGCGCTCGGTGCTATGGTGTGCCAGTGGATCGACACCAAAATTTAAGCTATGCTTCGCAGCGTCCTGCGTGTGTGCTCTTGGGCTTTCAGAATTTGTTTGTTCGTGATAGCCTGTCCGGTTTAACCTTTGGTACCATCTCAACAGTGAGCGAAAAATATCTGCCAGATGTTGACAGCATCCAGATAGGCTGAGGAAGGTAAAGCTGTCCCGTGTGCGTATTTAGCACACAAAATAACTTGGTAACAGGTATAGACTCCCGTTGAATACTGCGCAGAGAGTGCGCGATGACTGGCAATCATAAGTCTGTGTGGTGTACAGAACTTAGATTACGGAAGATGATATGTAGTATGCACTTGGAGCTTACCGATACCGTGAGGTCCCTTGATTGCCGGCGGACCTATTGGGTTTTATGCCGTGAGTACGTGTGTACTTGTCAGTCGCACTGATCTGCAGGTTTACTTATCACGTGTAATGTGGAAACAAAATGAGGAATCACTTATGGCCGTTTTAACTTGACAGCTGCACAGCTGACAGTTTGCCATAATGTGTGCCAAGGTCGCATGTACGGCAGGCGCTACTGGTGGCAGCAGCGTAAACAAAATGACGGAACATGTTAAGCGTAGTTCAAATTTGGTAAAGTGGTTGAAAATTTCATCGAGCAAAATGGAGTCCTTACGGCCCCGTCCAATAAGCTGTGTGGAGTTTTTGCTGCTGAGAGAGAGCTCTAGGGCAAATGGTGGTATACCTATGGATGCATTTATAAATAAGCGCCACATATGCGAACGTTCCAAGTTAAATACAAATACTACTAAGTGAATCGTGGATACCAGTGAAGTTAGCCGGATGAAGTTCTGAATCTTTAATGAAGCAACACAGGTTGGTAGCGGATATAATCAATGAAAAGAATAAAGGTGAGGCAATGCGATTTGAAACGGTCTAGCAAGGACTGGACGT